TTATGAAATTTTAGCAAGGATATTTTGACCTTCTTTAAGTTCGTGTGCAACTAAAATAAATTAAATTTCTCAAATTAAGAAAGTAACTATTAATGGGGATGGGGGTGTAACTGATATTGGAACACTTGTCAAGCATGTATAAGGCTCTGTGTTTGATCCTACTGTTATGTAATTCTACACTAACAATTAGCGTGCAATCATTATGCTTTAAGTTAGCTACTATTTTCAAAGTCTTTGTTGTGGAGTATATATGCTGGGACTTCTCTTACCCAGACATAAACTGGAGTTTTTCAATCCCTGATGTTTAAGCAACCACTCAGCAAACGACATGATTTCTGCAAGGCTCTAATCTGTGGTTATACATGATAAACTACCCATTTACAAAAAGGCAAAGACACTTTAGGACATGAAAGTCTGGCTACAAAGAGCTTGTAAACTGTTGAGTTTCCTAGGGGAGAGGCAGATAGCTGGAACTGCAAATTTAGGCCTGCCTTATCTCATTGAAGTCTTGAAGAAATAAATAGCTCCTTTACCTGAATCTTTAAATGATTATCCCAACAACATTCTTCAGAACTTTCTTGTAATTGGTCTAGATTTGATTTTCTTTTAATCCTGAATGATTCATGTTACAGAATTGTATGTTAGTCATTCACAATTTATAAATGGCAACTTAACTTCAGTATTTATGAATTGCAATCAATACTCTAGCAATCAAAACACTCACCTTTTGTATTTCAATACAGTTTTCTTTTTTTTTATCTTAACTCTTTCCCAGAATGGCTGGCTCATGAGTAAACCAATTTTCACTTGTAGATTTACTGGGGGGGGGGGGGGGGGGGGAATGAGTCTTTGAAATTTCTGAAGTTGAAGGACAATTTGGAGACAGAGAGGCAGAGACAGACAGAGAACAGGAATCTTTGCAGATCTCCTACTCTTCTATCTATATTTTTCACAGTTCAGCCTCCAAGCCTCCAGGCTTTGGCAAATATATCTATTAGATGTTAGCAAGATAGACATCAAATTGCTCTGTGGACTAAAAAATACAAATAAATGGATGACAGAATGAAGGTGCACTAAACACAAACCTGCTGCTCTCTGGGTGGGGTCTGGGATCACCTAGAACCTATACTGAGTCTGGAGGAGGGATGGCAAGAAGAGTAGAACCCTAAGTATGCAGCCAAACTTGAGATTTTACCAGTGAAGAGCTGTGTGGACCAAGAAGCTTTCTCCTAAAAACAGAGATGCTTTTTCTCTAAGGAGACACAGCCTGGCTTTCAAAGGGAGTGTGCTTTTCTTCTGAAACACTTTCATAATCAAGTGACTCGTCTTGCATGGGTATCTGGGGACGGCCGATTTTCCTCTAAGGATGAAGAAAGTCACATATCGGTTGCTTTTGTAGCGTGTTTACTCTGGCAAGGGAAGCACCCTGGACGGTTCTGGAAGCCTCACACACCCACTGAATGTCCAGGCCATCCGTCACGAACGCGTGCACACACACACACACACACCACACACACACACACACACACACACTCCTTCGCACCTCATTAGATGGGCCCACGAAGAGTCAGCAAATCTGCGCCTCCCTTGGCATAGATGTATAAAATGATGATGGCATGTGTGTGTGTGTGTGTGCATTAATGTGTGTGTGTGTGTGTGTGCAGAAGTCCAGCAAGGAAGACCGCAGCTACCTCATTCTGCCAAGCATGCTGTGATTCCCATTCTTGTACACATCCAGCCAAAAATAAATCTACTATCAAACTTTGATTAAAAACAACAACAACACAAGCAAAAACAACAAGAACACAAAGATGTGCTGCTTCCTCCCGAGCAGTTAAAATACACCCCGGGAGACCCGGTGGAGGCGAAGCTCTGGGCGTCGCAGCCACCGGCAAGGCGCAGGCTCCGCAAACCCCGGTGTGGTTTCCTATCCCACTGATCTAATCAATGACTCTCAAGCGTTGGGGCACCTTGGCCCCGCCCCCGCCAGCCTTTTCCCCGCCTCCCATTGGGTGTGGGCCGAGGGGGCGGGGCCGTGCTCCTCCGGCGGATTGGCTGGCAGGGAATCAGTATCAATGTTTAAGCGGCGGCGTGAGGTGAATAGAGTCAGTCAGCGCGAGACGCTGGGGAGCCAGCGGAGCTGCTGCAAGCCGAGCGCGGCGGCGGATGCGGCGGCGGAGGTGGCGGTGGCGGCGGCGTTGGCGGCGGCGGAGGGCGGCTGTGGCGGGGACGGCGGCGGGGATGCCTCTCCAACTGTTGAATTGAATTTCCCACCTCTCGCGCCCTCCCTCCGTGGCGTCGCCGAAGGAGATGGATGTCTTTGGTCGGAAGCCCGCACGTCGTCCTGAGGCTTTGGGGTGAAGCACCAGACTTGAACAGAGACCACCCGTGACGGGGGTTGGGGAGGGGGGGATTAAACATAAAACAGCATCTCCACCCCAGGCTGCACACCTAATGCACACGGATGCTGGACCTGGTGCCTAGAGCGCACTGAGAGGAAAAAATATACATATATCCACATATATGTATATACATGTATATATGTATCTTGAACTATGATCCTATGAGACTAAGCTGTGAATGATTTCTGAAAACGTGATTTCCCCCCTCCCAAGACTGAAAGATTTGGGGTTTCCTCCCACCTACCCAAGGGAAAAGGGTCTGTGGGCTTTTAAAAAGAATATCCATGAATCAATACATACAATACACCTAGCAAAGCAGAAGCCTTGATTTACAGAGCCTCGGACTCCTGCAGGAAGAGGTAGAGTAAAAGTACTACTGGATTCACCTGCTTCTTCCTCCCCCCATTCCCTCTCCTTCGGATCTCCACCCCCCACCACCACCACACACACCCCCGCCCCAACCTCCAAGACATGCATCTAGTCGTCGTCTTCTTCTTTCCATTGAGTGAGTCAGAGAAAGCCTTAGGAAGAAGCCGCAACTAATGCCTGTCGTGAGCCGCGAGTGAATACGATTCGTTCCGCTGCTTTTTTGACTCATCTGGTAGATCAGAACACCTGCATTTTCTGGATGTGTCATTCCCAGTAGAAAAGACATATATATAAATAAAAATGCAGGCTCCTGGAGAACCCGAAACCCTGTGGAGACAAACCTGCGCCTAAGCTCCGCTGGGAAGGGAGCTCCCGGACACGGGTGGGAAGCCCTGGCTGGACCGCGAAGGCTGCAGCAACTCAGCCCCTGCACTCGCAGAGTCGACCCGAGAGACGGAGAGAGCGCGCGCGAGAGCGAGACTGCAGAATGCATCACGCCAAAACCTTCCTGCGTTTCTTTCATCCAGCCCACTCCTTCTACTATTAAAAATATTCATCATCACCACCATCATCTCACCGGGAGAAGGAGGGAGGAAAGAAAAAGAACAATTCTGCACTTTCTTCTCTTGAAATATTCACCACTTTTCATTCCTCGCCACGGTTTCCCTTTCTAAAGGAAGAGGACTGTGAGGCTGGGCTATTTGGAAGGAGCTGCTGAATAGAAAAAGGAGAGAGGAGAGAGAGAGAGAGAGAGAGAGAGAGAGAGAGAGAGAGAGAGAGAGAGAGAGAGAGAGACTTGACAGCTCCGGCCCTGTGAATGCGGAGACTGTTTCCTAGCTAGGGAAGAGACGGGGGGGGGGGTGGAGAGAGAGAGAGAGAGAGAGAGAGAGAGAGAGAGAGAGAGAGAGAGAGAGAGAGAAAGAGAGAGAGAGCCCGCGCGAGGACCCGGGAGGGAGGGCGGCTTTCCCTTCCTTATTATCTGCCTCTCGCCCTCCCCTCCGAGGCTGCACGTCCAACCATGAGTTGCCTGTTGATTTCCTTGCGCCTGGGAAGCACAGCAAACTGGAATTAAACTGCACGGGAGAGAAGTCCCTCGCTCGCTGCCAGAGGATGGGATGGTAGCGGAAAGCCACTGGCTCGGCGTAGAGACATCACAGTGTGTTCTGCGAACAGGGGCGGAGATAGATCGAGATTTTTTTTCTTCTCTCTCTCTTTCTCCCTCCCCGATAGACTCACCCCGCAAAAGCTGATCGGGCTGTGGCTCTCTCTGGATTTCGCAAAGAGGGGGAGGGGGAGGCTGGGAAGCCTTTTCGGAGGAAGAGAGGGAGGAGCCTGGCAGAGGGAGGAAACTACAAATCGGGACACTAGTTCTTTGCGCTGCATTTCCTCCCCTCCCTTTGGCTGCTCGGAAAGGAGAGAGAGGGGAGAAAAAGGAAAAAAAAAACCGCTTGGCTGGGAGATGCAGTCCGCCGCTGCCGCCGCCGCGTTCGCCAGCAATGCAAGATTAGATCTCCAAATGCAGCAAAACACTGCCTGAAGACAGACCAGCCTGCGCCACGAAGCAGACATTTATTCCACCGTGCGTCGAGGGGGGAAAAGAAGCTTCAGAAAGACGACGACAACAACAACAAAAAAGGGAGAGAGAGAGACAGAGAGAGAATTATCCGTGACTCTTTTCGTCGTTGATCCTCACTCCCTAGGAATTTCATCTCGGAAGACGAGTACCAAGTAAGGATTTCACTTTCCAGATCTGCCTGGAGACACACCTCCCCAGCCCTCCCCCCCCCCCCCCCCCCCCCCGCCCCATGGCAAGACTATTCAGTAACCAGCCGGCGGGAGCGGATTTCCAGCGCCCTAGCGGGAGCGAGGCTAACCGAGCGAGCCTCTAGCTCATTATCATCCCTCCCCCAGACTCGATCTCCTCCTTCTCCTCGCCGGCTTCCCTCGCACAAGTTTGAACCTCCCGAGGTCCGGGTGCGCGCCGGAGAGAGACAGACAAAGCCCCCCGGGGCTCGCCCTCCAGCAGCCGGGAGCCGCCGCCTCGCTCCCAACTGCAGTAGCTCCGGCGGCGCCTTGGTTGCTAGCTCGGTGCGGATGCTGTAGATCAACAGGTTCGGGGAACTTGAGCGGAATTAAGGAGAGGACTGACTGCCTCCGTGCCGCAGCTCGGGTGCAGAGGGAAAGGAGAACACCCCCCCCCGCCGCCCCCCACCACACACACACCAGACTTGTGGCTCTCGGTCCTCCTGGCGCGCGCGCGCGCGCGCGCTCCGCCCCGGCCCCAGGCTGGCGCGCACTCACTCGCTCGCCCCTCCGTTCCGGCTGCACTTGCCCCCACCCCACCGGTCTGGGATGTACCTTTCCATCTGTTGCTGCTTTCTTCTCTGGGCCCCTGCCCTGACACTTAAAAACCTGAACTATTCCGTGCCGGAGGAGCAAGGGGCCGGCACGGTCATTGGCAACATCGGCAAGGATGCTCGACTGCAGCCGGGGCTTCCGCCGGCTGAAAGAGGCGGCAGCGGCGGCGGGCGAAGCAAGTCCGGCAGCTACCGGGTGCTGGAGAACTCGGCACCGCACTTGCTGGACGTGGACGCCGACAGCGGGCTCCTGTACACCAAGCAGCGCATAGACCGCGAGTCCCTGTGCCGCCACAACGCCAAATGCCAGCTGTCCCTGGAAGTGTTCGCCAACGACAAGGAGATCTGCATGATCAAGGTAGAGATCCAAGACATCAACGACAACGCTCCCTCGTTCCCCTCGGATCAGATCGAGATGGATATCTCGGAGAACGCCGCCCCCGGCACCCGCTTCCCCCTGACCAGCGCCCACGACCCGGACGCAGGTGAGAACGGGCTCCGCACCTATCTGCTCACGCGCGATGACCACGGCCTCTTTGCACTGGACGTCAAGTCCCGCGGCGACGGCACCAAGTTCCCCGAGTTGGTCATCCAGAAGGCGCTGGACCGCGAGCAACAGAACCACCACACGCTGGTGCTGACCGCCCTGGATGGGGGCGAGCCGCCGCGCTCCGCCACGGTGCAGATCAACGTGAAAGTGATCGACTCCAACGACAACAGTCCGGTCTTCGAGGCTCCTTCCTACCTGGTGGAATTGCCCGAGAACGCCCCGCTGGGCACGGTGGTCATCGATCTGAACGCCACCGACGCCGACGAGGGTCCCAATGGGGAAGTGCTTTACTCCTTCAGCAGCTACGTGCCCGACCGCGTGCGGGAGCTCTTCTCCATCGACCCCAAGACGGGCCTGATCCGCGTGAAGGGGAACCTGGACTATGAGGAGAACGGGATGCTGGAGATTGACGTGCAGGCCAGAGACCTGGGGCCCAACCCTATCCCGGCCCACTGCAAGGTCACGGTCAAGCTCATCGACCGCAACGACAACGCGCCGTCCATCGGTTTCGTCTCCGTGCGCCAGGGGGCGCTGAGCGAGGCCGCCCCGCCTGGCACAGTCATCGCCCTAGTGCGGGTCACCGACCGGGACTCCGGCAAGAACGGACAGCTGCAGTGCCGGGTGTTGGGTGGAGGAGGAACCGGCGGCGGCGGCGGCGGCCTGGGCGGGCCGGGGGGTTCTGTCCCCTTCAAGCTCGAAGAGAACTATGACAACTTCTACACGGTGGTGACCGACCGTCCCCTCGACCGGGAGACGCAGGACGAGTACAACGTGACGATCATCGCGCGGGACGGGGGCTCGCCTCCCCTCAACTCCACCAAGTCCTTCGCAGTCAAGATTCTGGATGAGAACGACAACCCTCCCCGTTTCACCAAAGGGCTGTATGTGCTGCAGGTGCACGAGAACAACATTCCCGGAGAGTACCTGGGCTCTGTGCTCGCCCAGGATCCCGACCTGGGTCAAAATGGCACCGTGTCCTATTCCATCCTGCCCTCGCACATCGGCGACGTGTCCATCTACACTTACGTGTCCGTCAACCCCACCAACGGGGCCATCTACGCCCTGCGCTCCTTTAACTACGAACAGACGAAAGCCTTTGAGTTCAAGGTGCTGGCGAAGGACTCCGGGGCGCCCGCGCACCTGGAGAGCAACGCCACGGTGAGGGTGACCGTGTTAGACGTGAATGACAACGCTCCGGTGATCGTACTGCCCACGCTGCAGAACGACACCGCCGAGCTGCAGGTCCCGCGCAACGCCGGCCTGGGTTACCTGGTGAGCACCGTGCGCGCCCTGGACAGCGACTTTGGAGAGAGCGGGCGCCTCACCTATGAAATTGTGGATGGCAACGATGACCACCTGTTTGAGATCGATCCGTCCAGCGGGGAGATCCGTACGCTGCACCCCTTCTGGGAGGACGTGACCCCCGTCGTGGAACTCGTGGTGAAGGTGACAGACCACGGCAAGCCCACGCTGTCCGCGGTGGCCAAGCTCATCATTCGCTCTGTGAGTGGCTCCCTGCCAGAGGGGGTACCCCGCGTGAACGGGGAGCAGCACCACTGGGACGTGTCGCTGCCGCTCATCGTGACTCTGAGCACCATCTCCATCATCCTCCTAGCGGCCATGATCACCATCGCTGTCAAGTGCAAGCGGGAGAACAAGGAGATCCGCACTTACAACTGCCGCATCGCTGAGTACAGCCACCCGCAGCTGGGCGGGGGCAAGGGCAAGAAGAAGAAGATCAACAAAAACGATATCATGCTGGTGCAGAGCGAGGTGGAGGAGAGGAACGCCATGAACGTCATGAACGTGGTGAGCAGCCCCTCCCTGGCCACCTCCCCCATGTACTTTGACTACCAAACCCGCCTGCCCCTCAGCTCGCCCAGGTCAGAGGTGATGTATCTTAAACCAGCCTCCAACAACCTGACTGTCCCGCAGGGACACGCAGGCTGCCACACCAGCTTCACCGGACAAGGGACTAATTCGAGCGAGACCCCTGCCACTCGGATGTCCATAATTCAGGTAGGAAACTTTCAGCCTAAGTGGGACTACACTTTTATGAGCTAGTTTTGGTGCTGTCCTCAGACCTTTGGATCAGGACTAGCCTCGGGCAGCCAGCAGCAATGAAAGGCGGGGGCGGGGGGGGGGAATGAAAAGGGTTTATTTTAACTGTAACAGTTGTTTGTATATCATATGCACACATAAACCCTCCCCTGTAAAGAGTGTAAAATCTGAACAAAAGGTATGTCTGACTTCTGTTGCATTTTTCAAGTTTATTTTTATATAGATAAAATCACGGTAGTATTCAAATAGTTTGTTTTATTTGTTTTTTTTAAACATTCACAGGATTCCCAGAATAGAAAAAAATAAGTAGAAATCTGTAAAGACATTTTAATCCCATTAAAATATTTGATGTGAATAATCAGAAGAATTTATATCCAAACTTAACAAGTACAGAATAGCAACCAGTCAGAATTCTACCACTTAGATCACTTTGAACAAACTTTTCACTCTCCCCAAAGTTGCTTTTACATTTTAAGTGTTTTATGGGACACAGATCTTCTTCAGCTGCAATAGCAGAGTAATTCACTGGTGTTACCTAAGCTTTTGTAATATGAATTATACTCACAAGTGCTTTCAAAAGTTTGAGTACAGGCAAACTGGGAGGAGGGGGGATCATTACCAGGAGGGAAATTTGTATTTGTTTTACTTGTGGTTTTGGGGGGAGCCTCACATACATCTGTTTCTGAGAAGTCATTAAGGAATGAAAAGTGAGTACCACATCACTATTTTGTGCTGTTGAAAACATAAGACAAAGTTCCCTGAATTTCAGGCTGCATCTATTTTGCATAGTGTGTATTTTTAGTACATCTATAAGATTTATAATATAATACATAATGTAATGCAAAATTATTAATTCATGATAAAATCTATTTAGGGGCAAACCTTGGATACCAGTTCTAAAAAAAAATAAGTGGTGACTTCTGTGAGTGCACTTTAGTCACCACTATTTTTATTTTATGGAGCACTGAATTGTGTCATAGAAAACTTCATTCTTGAATATGAATGTGTGTTGTTACATATTACTCTAGATGAACAGTGCTTGAAGTTCAAAATTGAGTTTAACTGAAAGTGACACTTCAGGAGGACGATTAGTTTGAACTAAATTATGAGTAATCTGTCTATATTATCATGCTTTTAAAAGCAAATAACTTTTAATGGCATATGATCAGTATTGTTTTCATTGTTATAATGGAGAAGTAAATTTTTTTAATCTTGTCCTTTGGATATAATGAGTGTTCCATATGCTAATACTTAATAAAATATGTTTTCCTAGGATAGCTTGAGGTTCTTGTTAAATGGACCGTTATGCTCTGTGCTACTGAACATCAAGGCATCAAATATAGTGTTAAATCCCACGTTTTATACTGCTTACTGAATGTCCCTATTATGTTGGTTTTCAACTTATAAAAAAGCTGTTTTCTATGAGACTGGGTGAAACTGGTGATCATCAAAATCTTTATAGAAGAATCCTTGCTATTTTTTTCTAGATCTACTGCAATCATTTTAGAAATAAAAACACATTATATTCCTTTCTTACTGTTATACATTGAGAAGCTGATGATATCACCGAGGGTTAATGCTTAATCCTCCACTTTAATTGATGAGTTTTACACTCACTTAGTTTCTAGTAAAAAAAGAAAGAAAGAAAGGAGGAAGGAAGGAAGGAAAGAAAGAAAGAAAGAAAGGAAAGGAAGGAAGGAAGGAAGGAAGGGAGGGAGGGAGAGAAAGAAAGAAAGAAAAAAGAAAGAAAGAAAGAAAGAAAGAAATTTGGTACAGCAGAATCCCTGCAAGTCTGATTTCTTGGTCAGACTAGTGAGTAAAACAGTTGGACTAAAATACCCAGATTTGATGGGACAGTCCTACCCTACTATACTTACAAGTCCTTGAAGATGATCATTGCATAAGAATGATGGTGATCCTTTTAAAATTAGCAATACAACTTAAAGTGGATCACCCACAAACACACCCATGATTCAAACAAAAAGAAAAACTATCTTGCTATTCTTTTCCACTTAGACTCATAATCCATGTCATCAAGACATATAAGGACTTTTAAGTTATTGAACATTATTTTTTTCAAAGTGACTCAATTTACCTACTTCCCTGGCCTGAGAAATAACCTTAATAAAACCTGCTAAAATAAGCAGCTTTTTTCCTCTCTATTAAGTGATTACAATCCTCTGAGGAATGCTTCATAAAATCCTAATATGTCAGTTTCATTTAAAATGGATCAAGTTTATCTTAAACTTGTTATGGAAAACTTCTTAAATTAAGGAATCACTGATCTTTCTTATTCTTTTCACATCGGTGTGCTGCAAACAGCTGTGCCACAGTAGCTTGACTAAACATGTCCTCATGTACCTCATAAGTGTTTATATTACTGTGGGGATGTAATACACCCTGCACAAGAAACATACTACTTAACTGGATGTATATTTTGGAAAGTAGACTTTACTGTGCAAAACCCATTTGTGCAAATAGCTGCTAGGTTTGCTCCACCTGCATTTTCCAGCATTTTATATGCTGTTTAAAAGCTGTACAATATACATCTATGAATAGGTTGGGGAAAAAATTTCACAATTGTATGGCAATTCTCTGGAACAGTACGGTGACAGAAATCCAGGAACATTGTGACTAAATGACTCAAGTTATAGCTACATTTGACATTTGTTTAAGCATTTTGTGTGCTTCACATAGTCTAGAATGTGAAAGTTAGTGTTCTATAGGTTCTTCTTGTGCAAAAGTGCATATTTCTTGTATATGAACACAAATTAAGTCATGTGGGGGAAAAAAACTCAAAGACTTGTGAAAAGAGATTTTATTTGTTATCAAAATGTATCAAGCCCCTTAACAAAAGTCCATCTATAAAGTTTCCAAAGACTATACTAGTGAATAGTGAATACTATGTTTCAACTCAACAAAGTTAAAATGAAATAATTCATCCATTCTAAAGCTATACAGGGACAGAAACATATATTTTGTGGTAAGGCAGGTAGATTTGGTATATATATGTGTGTGTGGGGGGGTGTGCACTTTCATTATTACAGATTCTATGTGAATTACTTCATGTATAAATAAGAAAACTACCATTAAGTAGAGATCATTACTAATTCTTAAGAATTTGTTACTTGGGTTGTATCAAGTATTAGTTGTTAAGTCTCAGGCAACTCATCAACAGGTGTTTTCAATGAAATCCTCTTTAAGAAGAGGAGAGGAGGCTGGGAACTTTTCAATGATGGGAAGATCTCCAGCTTTGAAGATGTTTTCACATTTTGTGTGTGTGTGTGTGTGTGTGTGTGTGTGTCTGTGTGTGTGTGTGTCTGCGTGTGTGTGTGTCACAACTACAAGTCTTTTTAATATGCTCTACTAGGAGAAATTGTATTAAGACAGCAAAATATGATTTACTATAATCAAAATAAACAAATATATCCATACTTATGTTTTACAGAATAGTTTCAGAAGATTCATGTTAAGAGTTCACTTTAGAGCTATTCTGCTAGGAAAATAGAATTCTTTTGAAATACTTGCCTGTCCTTCCCACTATAAAGGAATTAAGTACATGGCAATGCCTAGAGCCAATTCAAACACATAAAAAAAGAGATTTAAGTGTAGAGGAATAAAGTATCATAGTATAAAAGCCAGTAATAAGGGAATGGCAAAAGTAAATATCTTTTAGTAACAATATTATCCTATCTTTATTCTTGTTTCTCTAATTTAAGAGGTTCTTGACTATAGATTTATTTAGATCAGCTTCCAAGATCATAGTCTTTCAAATTTCATAATTAAAGCATGAGATATACTCACTTCTTTAGCAACAAATGGACAAGGTATAACTGATTTCTTTAGTCATTCACAATTTTGGAGATATTTTGTTGCCAGTTTTTCTGCTAAGAAGTCACCATTTGATTACCTCCATGCATTGGTTTCCTTAAGCACTATACGACTTAAATATTTAAGATTCTGGTAGGCTGAGAAGAATCCTACTGCATACCTCTACAAGTGTTCTACACATGTCTTTTTGTACAGAAATCTTTGAAAAGGTAGAATACATCTCTACTTTAGTGCCACATCAGTACACAATCATCAAGTCATTTTTAAAAATTTTTTACTTCTCATGTTTTAGAAATAGTAGAAACAAAGTAAAAAGCTTAATTCCAATGTAGTCATGCATTAGGTCTTTGAAGTTCTCTGGAGAAGAGTTTAAAATTTCTTCAACTTTTTACTTATTATTATATTTTAATCTTGGTTGTATGTAATTTATTATATTTAAACTCCAGTGTGTGTCATCTCATATTACTTTTTTTACAATAAAAGAAAACAAGACTATAGTATTTATATGACCTAGAAAATTGAAGACTGTTCTTTTTCAAATGTAAATTGATACTATAAGTTTTCATAAGTTATCAACTTCTCTATTAGTTTCTATATTTTAATAGTATTTCCCAAATGCAAGCAAAGTAATCATTGATTTTAATTTGAGATGATAATTCATCAGGCTTTCAAAATTATAAGAATAAATTTTATTTCATTTGAGTTGGTTGTGTGCATTATATTGCTTCAAAGCATATACTCATTTATAAGTCTATACCAAAGATTTTGGAATTCTATTCTTAGTTACATACAATTATTAATGCTGTATGTGATCATAGGAAAGAATTTGTTTGCTGAAGTACACAGTGAAATTATGTATTATATCTCAAGCTAGGAATAAATTCCACACACACAAAAACATACTTCCCAAAAAGTTTTTCCAAAATGTATATAAGATATATTATTAATTACTTTACAATACATAGAAAGAGCTTCACTCTAGAGGTAAAAATACAATTATTCTTAAATCAACCCCAAATATCATTTCTCTTAAAAAATTGAGAAATCTCTGTCTTGTTGAAGGAAAACTCCTAAATCTTTCAAGTTTCAGTATTGGTTAAAATATATTATTCATTCTTTATCATGTT